CCAGGTCAGGCGGCGGCGTGGTCCCGATGTGCTTATTATAGAAGTCGTTCACCTTGAGGTTGAAAGGGCGCTCTTTGAGGCGGTCTTTGATCTCGCGGCCGTGACGATGGGCACGTTCTGGTTCGGTAGGACAAGCGGCTTCGTCACTTTGGGGCCGGAGAGCGCCGACTGCAACCAGTCCGCTAGTGCAGTCGTGAGCTCAGCCGGGGGCGTCTTCGTGCCATCAGTGCCATCGGGCTTTTCGTCCTTGCGGGTCTTCATCCCGATCTTTGCGGCGTTTGCGTAGGCGATCAGCTGGAGCGCCGCAGGCGACAGGGTGGTCGCTCCCCCGGCTGGCGGCTGGAGGGGGACGGCCGCCAGGGCCGCTGCTGGCCGCCCTGTCCGTCCTCTGCTGCCCTTCGATGAGCGAGTTGAGCTGCTGGCCCAAGAGACGGGCCAGCGCCGCGCCCTGCTTGGCGCAGCGCTCCTCCTCCTCCTCCTCCTCTCCTCCTCCTCCTCCTCCTCCTCCTCCTCCTCCTCCTCGTCCTCCTTTTCTTCCTGGCGCTCCTTGTCGACTGACGCCTGGTACTTCGCATCGATCGCGTTGAGCCTCTTCAAGGCCCGCTCCACCGAGGTTGCTCTATCTGAGCGGTTCCGGCGCTGGCTGTCCCAGCGGCCGGCCCACCTTGAAGCAGACGAGGGTGAGTCGCGGCGCCAGCGGTCCCAGTCCATGTCGCGGTCTCGATCGTGGTCCTTGTCTCTGTCACGATCTCGGTCTTTGCGCCGATCTCGCTGGCGATCCCCCTGGGCCACTGCGACCGGGCGGTGGAGTTCCCCATTTCCCCATAGTGCTGCAGTGTTAGTCCATGGTGAACTCACGGATGTCCGCGCGCGTGGCTTGAACCACGAAGGATTTCGGAAGGCTGTGTACGAGGGCCCGCAAGAACCTGAGAGGGTAACCGGAACTGTGGTATTCCATGATTCGTTCCAGAACTCAGACGCTGATTTCGTCTGCGTTGGGCCCCAGCTGACGGCTCCGGAAAATGCGAACCAAGACCTGGGCCCGGCAGAGTCCGAAGCCCGTCGGGGGGCGGGGCCGATCCAGGGTAGAATTGTGCGCTTTTCGCGCAGCCCCCAGCCACATGCCCGCGCGTGGTTGGGGGTTGCGAGGCAGCCGCGGCAGAGATTCGCCTTGAATTCAGATTTCAACATCGAGCCATTCTCCTACTATGCGAGCCCCTTCAACACCTCGTTAAGGTCCACTGAGTGCCACGGGATATATTGTGAGGGAGAATGCCCTCTGCAGGACTACCACGACACGCCCGCTGCAAAGACACCTGGATCTTGCAATGTAGTCAGATACAGACCTGCGCCGCGAGATGGTTCGAACGGGTCCAGGGCCCAGGGGAAGGCCGAGACGCCGATTACCTCCGAGATCGAACCATCGATGTTCTTGTCCCCCCAATGACACCGCGACTGCTGCCGAGGACATCGCTCCCCCGATGCAGATGCCTTGCAGAGCGCGCGGGCGGCCAGCGGCGAGGGCGACGGTGATCGAGGCAAAAGCAATGAGTGCCCGGGCCAGGACATAGAGGGGAAGATGCCGCCAACCGCTGCTGAAGGCTTGTTCGGCCACTTGGGCCCGCTCTTGAGGCCCCTTGCGCGCCGAGATTGCAGCGCTGTGGCATCTCGCCTGGAATGTTTCTTCCGCGTCGCGCCGCAGGCCTGCAGTACCTTCGGCACGGCGAGCTTCGGATGCCTGGTCGGCGTCGGCGACCGCCGCAGTCGGCTCGCCGAATCGAGGGGCGCAGCGCCGGAGGCTCCTATCCTGGGGCGGGCGCGCAGACCTCCTCTTGGAGATCCCGAAGTGCAGCGCCGACGTCCTTCGTGCTACAAGATCCTGGGGCATGCCAGCTTGCTGAAGGGCCCCCCGAAATCCCTGGGCTAGGATTGCCCGCGCGCGTTTCCAAATTCATCCCGACCCGTCGATAGTTCCCCTGAGGCGGCCGTGCCCCATTTATGAGCGCGCCCGGAAACCGTCGGCTCGAAAGACCTTTGTTTTTGTATAGATGAGGACATAGGGCATTTGACTAGCAAATGTCTGGCGTTTGTTGTGCGCTAGATGGCCTGAGAAAGAGGGGGCCCCAAACTTTGCTTAAGCGACTTCCCATGCGCGTGCTTCCTCTTTTGTCATAGACGGCTGATGCTGCCAAATCGGGTCGTTTGCGATTGCAGACTCGAGGGGGGCGGCCAGCTCGTCGGCCCAGCCTGTCCACGAGAAGCTGGCCGCCCGATAGTCTGCTAGACGCGCTTCGCTTGGCGCGAGCTCAAGAGGCCCAGCCAGATCAATCTCGAACTTGGCCCATTCCGCGGGCTGGGGTTGAAGATTGAATCGAAGTGCTGCGTCGCGAAGCTGCTTCCCCCCGGCCCCGAAGACGCCCTGGCAGAAGTTGCCGGAAACTCCGAGATCGCCGCTCCCGGTGTGGCTCCAATCGAAGGACATGCTCCTGGGGCTGCACTTCCAATCGCCGCGGCCCTGGCCATCTGCATGATTGCCAGTGGAATTGCTGGGGCGTTCCTTTGAACGTATTATTGAAAGCTGATTTGGCAACCCAGAATGTTTTGCTGGAGTCGATGAAGTCGCTCCACCTTCTTTGTTTGGTATGCTGTGTGGTCAGAAGGCTGTACTGCCGCGCCCGCGCTGGGGCGCTCCGCATTTGATTGACGGGTGAAGGCGCGACTGAAAGGGCAAGCTAGCGTGCGCTGCCCAGCGCCAGGCGACCAGGATTTCGAAATGGGGGCGCGTAGTGTGTCAACCCACTCGGCTTCAACAGAAAGTTAATATTGCGATGGGCCTCAGTGCGGCGCGAAGGAATCTCCAGCGCTGGGTTTGCCGCGTCCATCGCCCGGCGCTGGAATGGCGCCAGATCCCCCCGCCGCCATTTGGGCATCTGAAACTGGAGGCGTTTCGTGGCCACGAACGCCACAACATCCACAGTGCGTTGTAGGCAGGAAGGCCATGTCGGTCCCGCAACATCCGTGGTAGCGCGCCGATGGGCTTGATGAAGGCGGCGCCGTGCCTTGAAAGGATGGCCGCCCTGATTGACGCTGCGTAACTCTGGGGGCCCCCGGCGCTGACGAGCACCGGGGCTCCTGGTCGACGGCTCAATGCTCCGCAAGCTGGCAAGAGGGTCTCGGCCGCGATCGACGGCCACCTCTGAACCTGACAGGTCGACAGCTTCGGTCGCGACGCCGAGAAGCTGAATCAATATCCTTTTGGTTGCACAAGGGGCGCCCCATCCTGATCCTTGTGGCCTCGATCGCAAACGCTTGGGCCTCAGTCGGGGCAGTCGGGGTCGGGGCCGCCGTGGCGCTGCCCTGTGAGCGCCCAAGGACTCTGTGCGTAGGGCAGTGTGCTTGGCTGACGTCCGGCCGGAGCAGAGGCCCTGATGTGTTCGTGCGCCCGTGCTCCATAGCCACCGCGCTCCGTTGCAGATTGGCTGTTCCAGTATACAAGCCGCTATGATTGCGCGGCGCATTCGTCGTGGCCGCGGCGTTGAGGCCCCCGGCGCGCGATGTGACGGCAGGAAGCAGGGGGTCGCGAATGGCCTGCAGTCCCCGCGCCACTGGGCCCCTCGTGGCGAGAAGGGCGAGCTGCTTCGGCGGCGTGATCTGGGTCGCCCGTGCAGCCCACCTGGGGGCCCGCTTGCGGGCAGCAGCCGCTCGGGCCCTTCGCCGCGCCGCACGCTGCCAAGAGATTGGTCGGCAGGGCAACGGTGGTCCCCCGCTGGTGGCATGGCCCCAGAGTTGGGAACATGGGGTCATCGATGCAGTATACCAGCCAACTGAGTTCAATGACGCCTGGAGTCTTTGGAAGTGCACTGTGCCTCGTCCGTTGTGCAACCTCGTCTTTTTCTGGGCCCGAAATGTTCCGTGTGCACAACTTCATATACCGCTGGCGTTCCGTCCCGCGGCCATCGGACATGTGTAATCCGGCTGAAACTTTGAGCGGGGATGCTTCCCACGCCAACCATGGAGCACGTTGTTTACCGCGAACAAAAATTATGAAGAACATGAGCTTAATAATGTGTAGTTGTGGAGGTACTAGATGAGGGGGTATGCAATGACAAAGTAGACGATGTAACGAATTCGAATGGAATAGTCCTCTATCGAACCTGCCCTCCTCCGACGGCCACATTGCCCGGCTTTTGGGTACGGAAGTGTATGATGTATGT